TCCATTCATATCCTTGTACATTTATTCATTCTTGTGCATCTAATTCTTGTCAATATTCAATATGGTTGTAATAGATAAATAGGATTTAATTTCTTGCAAAACTCCATTTATAAATATGTATACCCCATTCCCAAATGATGTAATAGCGCAGGATATTTACTTTTTGCAATTTACCGCTTTCATATAAATACTAGTTAATTAGGGTTTGTATGGAAAGACAAAACCAATACTTAGAAAACCCTAATCCAAGATAAACTCAAGCATGAAATACAATACACTTGCACACTTCTCACCTCTAGGGTTTACTCCCTTTGTTGCCTTAAAAATGGTCATGTTACACATGTGAGACATCTTAGAATAAACAAACAAAATACAAGATCAAAGTCCCTCGATGACGCTACGAATCTTGCCTTACAAATGATCTTAGTCCCTTAAGAAAAATGCTAAGATATCTCACAACATTGCTATCCATGACTACACGATGATCCACACCCATCCCTTTACATCCAAAGATAGAGTTACTTGCCAATCAATGGTAAGATAGCAATATCAAAGGAAGAGAGAAATGAACAAAATACTTTTGAGTAGGTAGAACGTTCTTAGTTGCTTGCTCACAATCCATATTAAAAAATAAACATCTTTTCAAACACACAAAACACTTTCAAAACATGAAATATTTTCAAAAAAGTCCAACACTTTGTATGCATTCTTATAGAGACGAGAATCATTACAAAGTTTGCTTACACGAAGGAGTTTTTCAAAAATACTTTCAGAATCCACCACAAACACATTTCAAGCCAAGCAATTTTCAAGTGATCTAGCAAGCAACTAAGAGCCCATAGATAACTATGAATGAAAAGGGTGATAACATCTTCCCTTTTTCATAACCTACCCTCCGAACTCGAGAAAATATCTCAAAGGTCTTTCCTGTTCTTTTCACTCTTTCCTTATTGGATAAAAGAAAAGTCGGTGACGAATCTTGCTATCCGCAATAATTACGATCAAACGCAAAACAACCAAGTCAGTTCTCCCACCGTATTACAAAGTCCCAACGCCCGAGGTTAGTAACATGTGAGGCACCTCAGTCAGCCGCGTGCCCTCCCCCGCAGAGTCAGGTCGATCCTATGTCCATGGCCAGTACTCAGCCTTTTGTGCCATTACTCTCCTCTGGGAGTTCGTCTGTTATTAGCCCGTATGGGGTACCAAATTTTGTTAGGCCACCTAATTTTATTTTCCCTCAGACCCAGATGCCCTTATCCTTCCAGCATATTGGAGGATCCAGTTTTCCAAATCCCACACAGATGCCACCATCCTTCCAGCAGACTAGAGGATTTAACACCCCACATCCTCCACAGATGCCCCTATCATTCCAGTAGACTGGAGGATCCAACACCCCATATCCCACACAGATACCCTTATCCTTTCAACAGACTGGAGGATCCAGCACCCCACATCTCACACAGACTGGAGGATCTCGCACCCCATATTCCATACATGTACCTGCACGTGAGGATGATCATGCGCAGCCGGATGATGATGATGATGTGGATGGGGGTGATGATGCGTTGGATGGAAATGAACTTCGATGGAATGACGATCCAAGTGAGATTCATGTCATTGACAGAAGTTTTTGGATTTGGCCCGAAGGAAACTCGTAAGTTTCTTATTTATAAATTTTTATTTAAGAAAACATTTTCATTTTTAATATAAATTTATATTTAATATAAATTTATATTTAATATTACTAATTCAAATTATTATTGTTTAGTTTCTCGCCGAGTCGGACTTCTACCAAGGTTATAAATTATATAATTCAACAGATGTATAAACAATTTTGGAAGACCTTCAAAGACGTCAAAAATAAAGAAGCTTGGTTTAACAAATTTAAGGTATAATTAATTTATTTTTTAGTTATTGTTATTTATATGACTTTTTCGTTATGATTATCTAACTATTTATTTTAATGTCGTACAATATTGTAGTAAAAATGTGTGTGAGACCCATTGAACGAGAAGCTGATTAAAAAAATTATTATGGCAGAACCTCAAGATGACTTTCTGACATAATGCGGCGTGTCAGAGAGCGTTGGAAACTTCAGGGTATCCGTCCCAATTGGATAGACAATGAGGTTTTTGAGGAACTTCTTAAATATTGGGAGTCATCTGAATTTCGAGAGAAATCTTAAAATTTTAAGAAGATGAGGGCGTCTGAAAAGGGGGGTTGCGTTAATGCAGTTGGAAGTATAAGTATCGCATAACATGTTCGACAGATGGTAAATATTACCACTTTTTAAGTTATATTTTAATTCAGACTATATTTTATTAATTAAAGTTAATTTTATTATTTAGATCAAGACTTTGGGGAGATCTCCATTGATGATTGAGTTGGTTAAAAAGACTCGGACAAAGAAAACCGGGGATTTTGTTGATGAACGTACTCTAAAAGCTTTCGTAAGTAATTTAATTTAATTTAATTTGTTTATATATTTCTTTTATTTAATGACAATTTTGTGTCGTGATTTTCACGTGGCAACTAAGAAGTCGTGACGTGAAAATCATGTGACAATTGAATAGTCGTGGCGTGAAAATCACGTGGCAACTTTTTTATATAATTTAATTTAATTTAATATTTAATATATATTTAACTTAATTTTTTTTTTTGAATGTGTAGGAGGATTATCAGACATTGTTCGCAAATTTTCTGATTCATAATCCTCAATATACTCCGGGAGAGGGAGAGTCGTTTCATCCAGATGTGGATTTTTATATTTGGGATCAAGTTATTGGCAGAAAAGGCCCTAACAGTTGTTTTTTGGTGATGGAAATTTGGCAGGCACCTTGACAAGTGGGGATAAAACTCTATTTCAAAGAGTTAGAGATGGGAAATACGGTCACGTCAACCAAATTTGACACAAGAACAACTTGAAACAGTAAGACAGTTGACGTTAAATGAGATGAGACGCGAGTCAACACAATATGAGGCAACAATGAAAGCCCAAATAGAGGCAATGAGGCAAGAGCAACAACGATAAATGGAGGTCATAACGAAGAGGCAAGCTGATATGGAGTAGCAAATGAGACAATTTGTGCAAGAGTTTGGTGGAAATCAAAACGTTCGTGATCAAGAGCCGGAGGATGACAGAAACAAAGATGACCCGTAGAATTAATTTTTTTTTAATTTTGCTTCCAAATTTGAGTTTGTGTAATTTAATTTTTTTAATATCAAATTAAGAATTCTTAAATTCAAAATTTATTAAATATTCAATTTAGTTTATTATATATTAAATTTTATTATATATTCAATTTATTAATTTAGTTTATTATATATTGAATCTATTAATTTATTTTATTAATTTAATTAATTATAATAGAAAAATAAATTTCAGTAAATAAATTTGAAAAAAAAAAGAAAAAGATTAGTGACTTGATTTTCACGTCACAAATTAGTGACGTGAAAATCACGCCAGAACTTATTTTTTTTTATATAAAAAAATAAAAGTTGAACAAAGAGAAAGTGTTAAAGGTTATTAATTTGTGATGTGATTTTCACGTCATTAATTTGTGACGTGAAAATCACGTGACAAATAAAGTGTTTTTTCTGTCTTCCCTCCTGTTGCGCCTGCTTTCCCTGCAAGTTTCGAATTCCTATAAAAGTATATTGCGACATGATTTTCACGTCACAACTTTGTGACACGAAAGTCACGTCGCAAATAAATTGTCACCTGCTCTCCAACCACGTGATCACTCACGTCGCAAATTAGGAGTTGTGACGTGATTTTTACCTTGTGACATAAATTTTATATTGCAAATAAGAGTAATTTTTGTAGTGATTGATTTCGGTATTATTAGCACTATTATTAGTAAAATTAAATAATACTATTAATATTAGTATTATTTTGTGTTCTAAACAAAGAATTAAACAAATTTAATATTTTTCTAAGCTACATAATTATTTTTTATAAAATACTTTTTTTTTCCAATACCAATATAATTTGTTATTAAAATAATATATTATTAAATTATATATATATATATATATATATATATATATATATATATATATATATATATATATATATATATATATATATATATATATATATATATATATATATATATATATATATATATATATATATATATATATATATATATATATATATATATATATATATATATATATATATATATATATATATATATATATATATATATAATGTACTTTTAAATTGATTTGTTTAATTAATAAAACTAGGACATGGAATTAATTAATAAAAATTTAATATTAATTCATATTATTAAATTGTCGATATTACTTTTTATTATATATAATCTATATATAATAAAAAATATAATATTTATTATATATACAATATGATAAATGTATATATAATAAAAAGTATAATAATTATTATATATACACTATAATTAATAAATATTATACTTTTATGATTATGATTAGCTATACTCGGTTTGTTTAAAAATAATAAAAAATTACATTATAACTTTAAAAAATCTAACTATGATTATTTGACCATCAATATTTCAATAAAAATCTATTTAACCATGCATATTAATGAAATGTTATACATTTAATAATTTATGTGTTGTGGATATAAATATGATAGTGGAGTGCAAAGTTAAATTCTTTCCTAACTATCGGTCTCTTCTACCAGTCCTTGAAATTTGATAAAATCCAAACCCACGTGTCATATACATCAGTTATTTCTAACCGTCGTTAAATTTTGATTTAAATCCAGAACCACGTGTCATATATGTATTGGTTAATAAAGCTTACTTTTCTGTTAAGTAATCGCTAGCGCACTCAAATTCAATTAAGTTACAATTATCTCTCTTATGAAAAATAAGAAAGCCCAAGAAATTACGGAGAATATTTAATTTTGAAAATTAAAATTCCTTTCTTTTCGTAACCGCAAACTTTATAAATATAGACTCACACCACTCTCTTCTCTTCATTCCTCATTCCTCAATCCTCAAGTCATGGATCATCGAACCTTTATTCTCTTGTTTATTGTTCTCCTCTTCTCCGTCACCGCGTTCTCATCCGAGACACCGAACGACGGCGAAGATCCAATAATCCGGCAGGTGGTCGATGACGGAGGAGTGCGGTTGGGAGCAGAGCATCACTTTAATGTATTCAAACATAGGTTCGGGAAGGTCTATTCATCCAAGGATGAGCATGATTACAGATTCAACATATTTAAGGCTAACATGCACCGCGCTAAGAGACATCAGATATTTGATCCTTCGGCGGTTCACGGTGTTACTCGTTTCTCGGATCTGACTCCGCTGGAGTTTCGGAAGTCCGTTTTGGGATTGAGAGAGTTGAGGTTGCCGTCGGATGCCAAACCGGCTCCGATTCTTCCTACTGATAATCTTCCGCCTGATTTTGATTGGAGAGAGAAAGGAGCGGTTACCCCTGTTAAGAATCAGGTATTCATTGTTTCTAAATATGATTTTTTTTATATATTTTATTTTAATGTTTTTTTTATCTGATTTTAACTTTTTGTAATTACGAATTAGGGTTCTTGTGGATCGTGTTGGAGTTTCAGCACCACTGGTGCACTTGAAGGTGCTCATTACCTCGCTACCGGAGAACTTGTCAGTCTTAGCGAGCAACAACTCGTTGATTGTGATCATGAGGTTTTTTTTTTCTCTTCTTCACTTTCTTTGTTAATTAATGTTAAGTTGTTAATAATTTATCATTCATTCATGAAATTGTTATAATACATGTGTGAATTTGGTTGTCTAAATTGGTTTGATTCATGAAATTTGTGCAGTGTGATCCAGAGGAGGCGGGTTCATGCGACTCTGGTTGCAACGGTGGATTGATGAATAGTGCTTTTGAGTACATTCTAAAATCTGGTGGAGTCATGCGAGAGAAAGACTATCCATATTCTGGTAATGATAAAGGCACCTGCAAATTCGACAAGACAAAGATTGCTGCATCAGTTGCAAATTTCAGTGTTGTTTCGCTCAACGAAGACCAGATTGCTGCCAATCTTGTGAAAAATGGGCCTCTTGCAGTTGCTATAAATGCGGTATATATGCAGACATATGTTGGAGGAGTATCATGTCCATATGTATGTTCCAGGAAGCTTGATCATGGTGTGTTACTGGTTGGATATGGTTCTGGAGCCTATGCGCCTATTAGGATGAAGGAGAAGCCATATTGGATCATTAAGAACTCATGGGGAGAGAATTGGGGAGAAAATGGGTACTACAAGATTTGCCAGGGAAGAAATATTTGTGGAGTGGACTCAATGGTTTCTACTGTGGCTGCTGTTCATACTACTACTCAGTAGTTTGTTTTTACCTAATGTCATTGTTTATAAAACATTCTGTTATTTCTTTTATATTTGGGGAAATTTTAAATCGGTGCTTGAGTATGTTAGCTACTTTCTGAACCTTATTATATATGAACAAGATTCGCTCTTCTTCATTGTCAAATCTTTTAACCTTGATTGTAAAATTCTAGAGTTGATGAATACGATTAAATTGTGATCTTCTAATGAAACTGTTTTTTTTAAAATCCTATTCTGTTTATTCATAATAATTTTTTAAAACACATATGTAACTATAACAATGTTATAGACAAATTCTAAACCTTCAAGAATTTATATTTTCTACTAATATTTATTAGCTACTAAAGTAAATTAAACAAAAACTACTCCCATATGAAAGGTATTTCACAGTATCAACTAATAAGAAGTAATTCAAGTAAATAGGAGAATCAAATACCTCAACCAGATTAACAATGTATCTAAATGATTTGAAACAATCACGCCTTAAAGTTTAATGAAAATGACTGATATTTAATCAAAATGAAGGACCGTACAAGTTATGCATATATATTATTATAAAAGGAGTCTTAGTCACGGTTAGAAGTTCTTTAAGTAATTTTCTGAGCACATTTCCAAAATTATTAATGATAATTCTCCAAATCCACATATGCCTCTTGCATTAACTCTTTGCCGCACTACACCAAATATTTCTAGCCTTATTCTAATAATTTGGAGAATCTTAAATTTTTTTTTTATTTTTTTTTCTCTCGTCCAAGAGGCTCCTTCAAAAATATGCAATTTGAATTCGAAGAATTCAATTTGAGTTCGGATATTTTTCGCAAGTATTAGACTCAAGGTCATTTTTTGATCGGAACCAGATTATGTTATAAGGATGAAGACTTGTCTCACGAAGATTGATATTTATAGGTTGGTATCTTTTATCAAGAGCTTGGTTACACGGGCGGGGTGGTTTCCGCTGATCCCGCCTCTAAAAAGTAGTTGAAAAGAGGCATCTAGACTCGCTAGCTTGTAACATATGCTAATTCCAAGGAAGAGAGGAAGGAGACTTTTGGTATGTGGGTTTCAGGACGACGTACTTCTAGCCTATCATTCTTAGCCTTTTATTTTTGTTTGTTGATATAATGAAAGATAAAAGTGCTATGTATAGTGGAAGAAGGAGGCTCGCACCTCTGCTGCCTTAGTCGGAATTCCAAGGACACCTTCTATCGTGGGAGCTTTTACACTGTGTACGCCTGCTGGTACGTCGTCCACTCCATTCGTAAGGCAGCCATATGCTCCACTAGCTGGGTAGGTAGGTTACTCAAGTTGTTCGTCAAGGGAACGAGAATGCAAATCTTACTTCCTCTCCGAGTATATTGACAGTCAGGCGTTCTTCTTCCACTATTCGGGAAAGGGAGGAAAGATTATCATCAATCCCTAAATCTGAGGAGGACCGTGTCGAGGGTCCACCTGCCAAGCGTCTTCCACTATTCGAGAGTGGGAGGGGCTGAAGAAAAGGGTTGACGACCTTTTCCGTGAGAGGGAAAGGTGTTTAGAGGAGGTTCAAGGTGTTTTCGACTCCTTTGTTTCCATCAAAACTGATTTGGGACCCCTGGGGTATCCTTGTACTCTGCTTAAAAAGGTACATCAGTTGGTTTAAGTGGTGGTTGATGAGGATGAATATCTGATTAAAGTGAGTCAGTCCATGGAATATGCTCAAAATAGGGTCGAGGGATTGGAGAATGCTTTAAAGGAGACTTAATTTAACCATCTAAAGACCCAGGTCGACCTTATGATTTGCGACAAAAATATTTCTCTTTGTAAATAACTATCCAACTCTTTACATAAGGGTTTCTCAGTGCCCGATGATGCTTTCAAAAGTGCTCTTCTTCAGGTTGAAAATTTCTACTCAACTGACTCCATCTCCCTAACTCAGGTTCGCCTCAACCAAATGATTGTAGATGGTGAAGTGGTTCCCTTGGATACTTATCTTTTCTCCTTCTTTTTTTAGGCCAAATGTATTGGGCCTGACTTATGTAACTTTTAATCTGCATTGTATAAATGTGTTTTATTTATTTAACTCGTACCATTATTGTTATAGTTATGACTCTGTTCTTTGAGGTTGTGCTCGTGTATTTATTGGACGTCTCTGAGAACCATGCCCGAGCAAGGGTTAATGCCCCTTCACATGTTCCCAGGTGTGGACCTGGTTTGAGGTGGATGTATTGACAGGCCTACCACTTCCTCTAGAGTGGCTAGTTACCAAGAGGGGGTAGGTCGTTTATTTTACAGCTTTCTAGGTGTTTTCTTCGTGCTCGTGTGCTAGTGTTTTGGTCAGCTTTGTCGTTTTTTTTAGCATTAGTGTGTTGGTGCTTTAATCTATCTGGATGTGTATCCTTCATAATAAGAAGCGGAAATAATTTAGGAATAATATTTTCTTTATTACAATGTCGACATAATGGAGTAGATTTAACATATTTCTTTCTTAGGATGTGTTTGGTAGAGTAGAAATAGGAAATAAAGAAATAGGTGAGAGAGAAGTTAAAGAGAGAGTGATAACTTCTTTTGTTTGGGAAGAAGAGAAATTGAGAAGAGAGATTAAAAAAGAGTGGACCCCATACCTTTTATATTTCTCTTCAATTATGAGGAGAAAGTGAGAAAAAACAAATTTAGATAGCAAAGTGACTATTTTGCCCATTAAATTATAAATTTATATTTTTAAAATTATATTTATCATAAGGGCATTATAGTACTTTAAAAATATGCAACACTTATCTCTTCTCTATTTCTTATCTCTTTCTCTTAAACCAAACAATACCTCAAATCTACTTTATTTATCATCTTTTCTCTCTTCTTACACTCTCTCTTATCTATTTCTCTCCTCACAACTTCTCTTCTAAGCTAAACACACCCTTAAAAAGAGATTAATAGAGGATTAACAAGTGTCATAACTAAGTGGTTTTTGCCACCGCCTAATTGACAAGAATTTAAAGAAATTAACTGATAACATAATCAGGTAGTTTATGTTGTCTCTTATTTCCTTTCCCGAGTTAGGTCGTATTTTCCTTAGCCACTTTCCTTTGCTTGTTTCTCCTGTGACATCTTTTGGTTGAAGGTCGGATTCTCATTCTTTCCAACTTCCCAACTAACGAGGTCACATTTTTTTCATAGTGGTAGCCTCGCCTTCTTTTTATTCCTATTATATAGCTTGATAAATCATCTTGACTCCTATTAAGTTAGAACTTATTATAGTCAGTTTGTCATAGATGTTGTGTACTTCATCTTGAGGTGGACAGGGGAAGCTACCACGTCCAAGGTTGATGCAAAATGGCGACCTAAGATGGAGTTATAAACACTTCGGTATGGGACCACCAGGAGTTAGGCGTCAATAGTTCTATTTTTTTTGCCCTTCTCCCAGGGTGACCATCAGCTCTACATACCCCCATGGACGAGTTATTGTATCATTGAAGGCTTCTAAATCCGACCCTTCATATAGTAGTAACCTTTCTTTCTTCGGTCTCATTTTCTCAAAGAGGTTGGTATACATAATGTCGCAAGAAATTCCTCTATAAATCATAACATATATGGCGCCAAATCTAGTTATGGTTATTGATATTACCAAAGGGAATATCTTCCTTAATATTCCTTCTACCTTCTCATTACCTCAGAAACCGATGATAGGTCTTTTCGAGTTAGTGGTTGAGGTAATCCCATATTTCTTGAAAACAACCATTAGCTCGATAATATTTCTCTAGGTGTTGCCCTTGGATGGTATGTTGGGCTTAGGGGCTCCACTAATTATGAAGGTGATGTATCCTTTGTGCTATTATTCCTGAGCAATATCCTTACTGTCCCTGTGGCAATAACTTTCATCATCTTCTTCATAGAATGTCCTTTTTTTTTCAGTTAGCCTTTTTTACTCCTCTTCCAATCTTTCGTGTAATCAAATAGTTATCCCTTCGTGATGAATCCTTTTATTGCATTTTTAATCATGATGCAATCATTCGTATTGTGACTGTGGATTTTGTAGAAATGGAAATACTTTGATCTATCAGTCCATGCAGACTCTCTAATTGAGTATGGGTTTCTTATCTCAATTTTGTAACCTCGGTATTGATGCATTCCATTAGAATCCTTTCATGGGAGGTGTTCAGTTGGGGTGTGAGAGTAAAAAATTGAACGAGGTCTTTGTTCGTGCTCCTCCTTAGATGTTTCGGACTCTTTGTCTATTGTTCACTCTTATTCGAAGATACTCAACCCTTTGCTTCCTCTATCAGCTAATAGTCTGTCTTTGTATTTTACATAGGGTTGAGCCCTGCTCAGCAAATCATTTAGGTTATGGGCTTCTTTTTAGCAACTTCTCTCGAAATATACTATCCAGTTTGAGTCCTCTTTCTAAAATACAACATTTGAGACTTTCATCGGTTCCGCCCATGGATACCACCACTTTAGTGAATTAGTGATGTACGCATGCATGGTTTATTTCTTGCCATGACTCACCCCACTGAGGATGACCATACTTACTGGTTGTTTTTCTCTCGCGGTGAAATGAGTCGTGAAAGTCTTGTAGAATTTTGACCACAAGTTTATGCTTCCATAAGGGAGATTTTATACCAGTCTCAGGCCGATTCTGTCAGAATGAGCATGGATAATTTGTATTTGATATCTTTGTATGTATGGTACTAATAGAAATGATCATCTATTTGCTCGATGTGTTCTTCTAGATCCCCGTCTCCATTTTAATCTTGCAATTTGGGTGGTTTTTCCAAGAAGTGTGGAATTCTACTACCCAGGATACGAGTGCTCAAGGGATTCTTATTATTAGGTGGTGTTAAAGTGGCTTCCTCATTTCCTTCTTTTCTGTACGACCTACAACCTTCAGAGGGTGTGTGACTACTATTATTTCCCTTGTAGCCAGACGATAAAGTACGTAGTCTATAGTCCTGTCGACGAGGCATATTTTGGTACTCTTCATGCCATTTCCTTGGTTTTGCGACCATATGTGAGGCTTCCTCTTGGAA